TCTTTCCTCAGTAGTAGGCAAACGCTTAACTTACATTAATCAACTAATATGAATGAGAAAAAAAGAAAAATAAAGTATAAAGGCGAATTAGATTTAGCAGGATGCAAACTGTATTGTTGTGTTTTGGAAGATGGAACAAGAGGTTTATCAAAACGAGGCACGCAAGAAGTTTTAGGAATAGTTGATAAAAATGGCAAGCAAAAATATTCAGCAAATAGGCTGGGAGAATTTTTGAACCAAAAATCACTCCAACCCTTTATTTACAAAGGAAAAGAGGTGGGAAATTTTGACCCAATTGTCTGCTATGATGAAAATGATGTTGAAAATCATATTTTTAAAGCAGCCACTTTAATAGATATAGCTGATGGTATCCTAGAAGCAAGAAAAAGCGGAAAGTTAGGAAAGAGAAAAGACATAGTTGCTAGCCAAGCCGAGTTAATAGTTAGGTCAGTTGCCAAGGTTGGTATTGATGCCTTAGTAGATGAAGCCACAGGTTATCAAAAAGTCCGGGAAGAAACATTACAAGAAATATTAAGGTTATATGTTTCGGAGGAGGTTTTAAGATGACAAAAGACTTTTCATGATGGATTTTACGAACAAATATTTAGACTTTGAAATTGAGTTTTTGACCCTGAAAATAAGAAAAAACCTCTATTTGTTGGTTATTTAACTATCAAGTTGATTTATGAGAACTTGCCCGAAGGCGTGTTAGAAAAAATAAAAGAGAAAACACCAAAAACCAAGGGAGGTCATTGGAGATATAGATTTCATCAATCATTAACCATTGAAATAGGTAGAGAAGCCTTGAAAAAAGTAATTTATACAATAGAAACATTAGCCAAGATTTCCAAAGATAAGAACCAGTTTTTAAGATTGGTGAAAAAGGTGTATCATCCTAAAAAAGATTTACCTTTTTATATTGATGTGGAAGCCATGAATGAAAGAAAAGAGGAAGACAAAGTTGATAAATTATTAGGAGCTTTATTAAAAACACCAAAACCAAAAAAAGATGAGTAGCCTTTTTTAAATTAGTGTAAAATAGTATATTAACCCCAATCTTTTTTACTAATTTTTGTTGTAATTTTCTTATCTCTCTAATATCCTAATTTTAATCGTTTTTTT